TTATTTCACCGTAACTGCGCATTTTATCGCAGATGAGTAGCAGCAGCGTCTCATGCTCCAAACAAGAGCAGTGAATTAGAGCCTTCTAGTTCACTTACCACATCACTTCCATTTGATTTATTAAAAAAGATACTAGGAGTAAATTCATTATGGATCATTACAAATACTTTGCTTTAAAAGTACCAAGTCACTTTAAATAACAACACCGAGTCACTTTAAAATGTATATTGTCTCTATATTCTGTATATATATTTTGTGTATATTTAATATATTTCAGTTGGTTTTTCTTGTATTTTTATTTTTACTTATTTACTCTCTGTAGAGTGATTAGCTGAGCCTCACCACAAGCATTTCAATGCATAAATGTCCTGACATGTTGTGCAAATGACAAATAAGCTTGAAACTTGAACTCGAAACTTGAGCTCACACAGTGAGAAAATATAAATCCTATATAGAAAAAAGACGCATCGATAATCGCTTCATAATCGCATCGCAGCCTCTGAATCGTAATCGAATCGAATCGTGAGGTGCCTAGAGATTCCCACCCCTAATATATATCTATCTATCTGTCTGTCTGTCTGAGTATCTATCTATATCTGTCTGTCTGCGTATCTATCTATCTATCTGTATCTGTCTGTCTGCCTGAGTATCTATCTATCTATCTATCTATCTGTCTGTCTGTCTGTCTGTCTGTCTGCAGTTGTTTTTGTCAGTTACAGTGTGAAGCATTAATTATCTCAGTATAATGTCTCAGACAGGCCCAAACGAACCTCACCTTTACACACACTCGTGCGAGCGTGATGCTCACTGTGAAAGGTCTCATAAATAATGAAGGAGTCTACCTGCAGGAGTCAGAGCGAAACGGAATCATCAGCAGTGCGTGTTCCCCCAGCTACCGGGGCTTTTCAACATAAAAACAAGAAGAGAGAAGAGGAGAGAGGAGAGAGGAGAGAGGAGAGAGGAGAGAGGCCTATTTCTGAGGTGTTTCTCTATAAAAGCATGAATAAATACAAACACACACACCTGCTTCCCTTATTTGGGTCACTAACTAATTACTCAGATATTTAATTAATGATGTTTAGTGATGCAGACACAATGCTTTCGGCAAATAGATTAAAGGAATAGGTCTGTTGCGTAATAAATGTTAATGATCTCTATTCTGATTGGCCTCTCTACTTTGTGCCTCATTCAGAAAGCAGGGGTTGAAATGTGCGGTGATCCATTTGCTTACCAACAGCCACGAACAGCACAACGTTTATTCAGTTTCCTACATCTTCAATTCCAATAACTCTGCTACAGACAGGAACAACACTCCATATCACTTCAGTGGGAATGGGCGGGGCTAATCTGCTCTAGGTTGGTCATGTATACATGTGTTGTGACATAATGGCCACGATGGATTCAAAACGGGCTGTTTTTGCACCTATGTGGACTGTAAATGGAGTAACAGTACAGACTTTAACTGTTTTTGAGACTTTAATAGTGTTTTTTGTAGTTTTCTCACAATAGAGGCCTTTTAAACAACACGAGTAGCAACAGACTGTGAACACACATAATTTCAAAACATGAAATGTGCCTCCCAACCATTTATTATTTTTCCGCTGACGCTAAACAAAAAATCACAAGCATCCAGCAGAAGCTTCTCTCTTTGCATCGGTAATCAAAGACCTCAAGGGCTTCATTCCATAACATTGCAAATTATTGATTGTGAGCTTTAATTAACACAATATTCATATTAATGCTCTCTGCTTTTTTATTTAGGACTGCTGCTTCCTTCCATGCAGAATTTTCTAGTGATTTTTTTTTTGTTTTTTTGTTCTCTGGATGGGGGGTTGTTGATGCTCCTCGTCTGTCAGCTGGCCAGCAGCTTCCTCTAAGCTCTGCTGGCTGCAGATCCAACGCATCCTCCTTCAGTTTGGAATGTAGTCAGCCTCAGTACGGTCACTAGTGGAAACAGATTGCAGAGGGAGATTTGCATTGCAACTACAACTTTACAGATGAGCTAGAAATCACCAGAGACACTGAGCAAAGTTATTACGGGCTTTTAAAAGAAGTGTCATTTTTGGATCGTTTTCATTGCTTTAAATGAGCACAGATTCTGTTTTACAGTGATGTCATTGATTTTGAAGAGGTATTTGTCATTTGATTGAACCTAATTTAGTTTCAGCTGTAGTTAATCGCTGTGTTTTTGGGCACCAGTGTAGCGTTAAGGAGAACATTTAATGCTGCTTATCCTGCTGCACAATGCATACATGAGGTGCTTGATGCTCTGCACTCTGCACTGTAAGGCCAGTGGGGATTTAACTTGAGAAAGATCCACCACCCAAATAATATCCAATAATGAATGGACTAGAGGAGGCTGATAAACTGTGCAGTGATGGATGAACTACAGTCTGTAATGTTTACTTCTGTATAAGGCAGCTGTTTCTAATAAAGTGGCCAGTGAGTAAAAGTACAAGGTAGTTGTTTCCAATGAAGTGGCCAGTGAGTGGAAGTACAAGGTAGGTGTTTCTGATAAAGTGGCCGGTCAGTGGAAGAAGCTAGGTGTTTCTAATAAAGTGGCCAGTCAGTGGATGAAGGTAGGTGTTTCTAATAAAGTGGCCAGTAAGTGGAAGCACAAAGTAGATGTTTCTAATAAAGTAGCCAGTGAGTGGAAGCACAAGGTAGATGTTTCTAATAAAGTGGCCAGTGAGTGGACATATAAGGTAGGTGTTTCTCATAAAGTGGCCAGTGAGTAGAAAAACTAGGTGTTTCTAATAAAGTAGCCAGTGAGTGAAAGCACAAGGTAGATGTTTCTAATAAAGTGGCCCGTGAGTGGACATATACGGTAGGTGTTTCTCATAAAGTGGCCAGTGAGTGGAAGCACAAGGTACAAATAACTGCTGAAAGCCATAATGTAGAGTCAAAGCACTCTGCAGTTCATTCATCAGCATCCAGACAAGTCCAGATGATGTTTTATGGGCTGCCTCACCTCCGGTGGCTTCGCTTCATAAACAGGATTCATTAAGATTATTAAAGAGAGCGTATGCGTGCGTGTGCAGGTGGCCGGGGTGGATAGACGGGGAAAGCAGTGGCTCATGAGGCTGCACTGGCAGCACCCTCCAGAGGGATCGATTGCATGTCGTGTTTAAGCCTGTTTTGTGCCGTTTTCTTTGCACAGCAGGCCGGATCTCCTTCCGTGACAGATCCAGCGTACCGCTCTCTTACACACACACGCAGTACCTGAGGAGTGTGACGACACTCGGACTGCCTCGGGGCACCTGCCTCTTCCTGTCACTTTCTTAAACTGCAGGAAGTGCAAAACTCCTGTTTTGTTGAAGGCTTGGTTGTGCTTGCGTGCCGTGCTGGGAGGAAGGAGGGAAACATCAGCCTTCTTTTTCTCACTGAAGGCACCAGTGAGCACTCTAACTGCTGCGGGACCTCCAGGCGAGCGGAGCGGCCTGGCTGCCTTCTGAAATATCTGCAGTGTGACAGACATGGGCCATTTGACAGAGGCCAGGGCTTTAATAGGATGGTGACTGTGGATGTGTGCGCAGATGTGTTTTAGAATGCCGTCCTTCTCTCAGTGCTGCTGTAACATCCCTCAATCACCCTTGTGAGTAAATTATGCACGAATGGATGAAGAAATGAAGGAATAGGAAGTCCCCTTAAAACCTGCAACATCTTTTGGGTAAATGAATGAGTGAATAAGACCCCTCCCCCGCCAGTAAAATTGTAAATTATAGTTTTGGGTGAATGAATGAATGAATGAATGAATTAATGAGACCCCCCCCCCAGCAAAATTGTGAATCATAGTTTTGGGTGAATGAATGAATGAATCAAACCCCCAGTAAAATTGTGAATCATAGTTTTGGGTTAATGAATGAATGAATCAGACCCCCAGGTAAAATTGTGAATCATAGTTTTGGGTTAATGAATGAATGAATCAGACCCCCAGGTAAAATTGTGATAGTTTTGGGAGAATGAATGAATGAATGAATGAATGAATGAATGAATGAATAAGACCCCCAGTAAAATTGTGAATCATCGTTTTGGGTGAATGAATGAATGAATTAATTAATAAGACCCCCAATAAAACTGTGAATCATAGTTTTGGGTGAATGAATGAATGAATGAATTAATGAGACCCCCCAGTAAAATTGTGAATCATAGTTTTGGGTGAATGAATGAATGAATGAATGAATGAATCAAACCCCCAGTAAAATTGTGAATCATAGTTTTGGGTTAATTAATGAATGAATCAGACCCCCAGGTAAAATTGTGATAGTTTTGGGAGAATGAGTGAATGAATGAATGAATGAATGAATGAATGAATGAATAAGACCCCCAGTAAAATTGTGAATCATAGTTTTGGGTGAATGAATGAATGAATTAATGAATGAATCATTTTTATGGGTAAAGGACGAGTAAATCAGTCAATCGATGTCAATCCAACAATAAAATGTCTAAGTGAACGCCAAACAGTAACTGAACACACAGAAATGTAAATATCGGTAATGGATGTTATTGATGTATTAGATTATAGAGTTGAATGAATATTAAGATAAAGAGTGAATTACGGCTGAAGGCTGAAGTGAAGTAAAGCCCGGATCCTCAGTCTGTATCAGTGACAGGAGAGCGGGGAGCTGCGGGATCCTGCAGAGCTCGGAGCTCATTGATCATTCCTGACGCGTAAACTCGCGTTTACAGCACCTTGATTTTTATTTTCATTCTATTTCTATTCCTGTTTTTTCACCTCCACACCGTGCTGAACTCTAACCGCTCCGAGCTGCACGCGCCTCCCGATCCGCCCTTCACCGAGTCTCACAGAGAGAGAGAGAGAGAGAGAGAGAGAGAGAGAGAGAGAGAGAGAGAGAGATCCGTCTGCACGCTTCTCGGCGGGAAAACGGCACGCTGGCGAGAGGAGGCGCGAGCGCGCACGCACGCACACATACACGCATGCACACGCGCCCGCGCGCGCGCTCGCTCCACGGTGAAGCGTTTGGGCGTCCTGTCTGAGATCAACAGGGCGGCGGAGCAGGAGAGCCGGAGCAGGAGGAGGAGAGGAAAAGAGGAGGAACAAACACACACACACGGAGCCGAGAGCACGCGGAGCGCACCTGCGCGCTGAAAGAGAAGGAGAGACAGCAAAGGAGAGAGAGATGAAGGAGAAGAGTTTGATCGAGACGGCGACCATGCAGGGAAACGTGCTGGTAAGTGGAGCGGCTTCATGAATCTCTCTGTCTCTCTGTCTCTCTCGCTCTCTCTCTCTCTCTCTCTCTCTCTCTCTCTCTCTCTCTCTCTCTCTCTGCTGTGTGGACGCAGAAACGCCGTGTGTTTGTTTGCAACATGTGCGCTGTCCGTCTGATCCGGCTGCGCGTGGAGAAGAGAGAGAGAGAGAGAGAGAGAGAGAGTGAGAGCGAAAAGGGGAGAAAGTTCAATAAAGAGCTGGTGGAGCCTCATCACCTCTCTCTCTCTCTCTCTCTCTCTCTCTCTCTCTCTCTCTCTCTCTCCCTCTCTCTCTCTCTCTCTCACCGGTGTTATTACTGAGGTCCGGGGGGGATTTAGTGACCTGCTGCTTCTCCTCTCTGTACTGAAAAACAACAGGAGTCACGTCATCAAACTCCTGAAAGTCATGAAAGTTTTACCCTCCTGAAGGGCGGAGGAGTGCTGATATTGCCCCTGCCGGGCCTCTGTGTGTGTGTCTATGTGTGTGGGTGTTTGGGGGGGCCAGATGATTCAGACCGAGGGGCTTCTTTTATTGTTGTTGCTGAAGTGTGGCGCTGTGTGTGTTTATACTACAGGAGTTCATCCACCTTACAGAACAGCTCAAGGATTCTATTCTGTCATCCATTAATAATGCCTTAATAATAACAGTGGGCAAAGGAAGAGAGTGAGGATTAATACTGATGTAAATTTATCAGTAACAGAGATTAGGGTGGTGAATGTGGCCTTTAATGGAACACAGGAATTGTGTCAGATTAATGGAGAACGTCTAAAGTCCGTCTCATTGTCTGTCTGTCTGGGTTGGGCTTCCCCAGATCATCTCAGCTCAGAGATCATTGTGAAATGGTAAAGTGAGCATCACATTAAATACTCTCTCTCTACCAGTTAAGATGGTCTGAATACTGTTCATCCAATGGAAAACTGGATCTGTCTATTGGTCTATCGGTCTGTTGTCAATCAGTCTGTTTGTCTGTCCGTCTATCTATCTTTGTATCTGTCTTTGTATCTATCTGTCCGTCTATCTGTATATCTGTCTCTTTGTCTGTCTGCCTGTCGGCCTGTCTGTCCGTCTGTCTATCTATCTATATAGCTCTATCTGTCTGTCTGTCTATCTATCTATCTATCTATGTAGCTCTATCCGTCTGCCTGTCTGTCTGTCTATCTATCTATAGCTCTATCTGTCTGCCTGTCTGTCTGTCTGTCTATCTATCTATGTAGCTCTATCCGTCTGTCTGTCTGTCTATCTATCTATCTATCTAGCTCTATTTATCTATCTGTCCGTCTGTTTGCATATCTAATCTAATTGTCTGTATCTGTCTATGTATCTGTATCTATGTCTATCTGTATATTTGTCTGTTTATCTGTCCATCTATCTCTCTCTCTCAGTCTGTCCATCTATCTATCTATTTGTCCGTTTTATATATATATATATATATATATATATGCATGCCTGTGTGCCTATTTGTCTATCTAAATATATCTATCAGTCTAGATCAGCTGTTTGGACTGTTGTGTTTTCCTCTAAGCCTCTTCATGCATTTCGGATCTGCTCATTATGTGTGAGACTGAAGGAGCGGAGAATCAGGAGATGAAGGCACAGTAAATTCCAGCTTGTGCTTTTGTAGTGAGACGTGGTTTCCACTGTGAGCTGTGTACAGCAGTGAATGGTGTTAATGAAAGACTGATTAAGTTTCCACCTTTAGCCACCCTCATCATGTATGTAGGACTGTATCTATGGATTATATTAGTAGTTGAGCAAACTAGTGATTATTTTGATGACTGAGTAATCAGAGTTTTACAAAATGGACAATAAAAATGGCCTTAAGTGAGGAACACCCCATGCACAGGCTTTCAGAGACTCCAGAACACTTTACTGGAAAAAAACTAAAAACTGCTGGCCTCTCTAAACTATTCACTGCTGTTTCATTGAGAAGGTAAAATTAATTTAATTTGGTCAAGTGATGATGCCAGCCCTACTCTTATATGGCCGGTCAGTAGGGTGGTAAATAGCTGGATGATTACTGTTTCTGGCCATCAGGGTGGTGTTGTGTTTCTAGTGGTTCTAGTTTGGATGTTATTTGGAAGTGACCTTCTACAGAAGCTTTTATGTTCACTTTCCACTTCCACTTCACACTGAGCACTGATGCCGTGCCTCCGAGCAAGACCCTTCCTCTCCCTGACAGGATGTAAACGAGTGTGTGTCAGCAGTGCTCTCTCTCTGCTGAAACAGAAGCTGAAAGACATCTTCATCTTCAGGAGTTAAAAGCAAGTCAAGTGAGAGTCAACGCTTAGTGCTGTAGATCTATGAGGATTTAGGAGGAGCTTTGAAATAGATGTGATGCTTAAAATGGGAGTTAAACGAAGACTGAATGTGCATAATTGAGAAATTGAAACGTTCATCTTCTGGAATTAGAAATGGTACAATACCATGTTTTCTTTCTGATATGATCCAAGGCTGATGCAGTACTAAGCTTTAAAACTAGCTTTTTTTAAAAATAAAAATGATTTCATGGCCATCTGGATGTATCATGCTTAAACTGATCAAACTAATACTGGACGTCAGGTTAAATTAGATACAGAATTGGTTTGTATGTCTTATTGTTTTCCCTCCAATATTTGATCCAGCACTTCTGCAGATATTGGCCCAGTGCAGATACTAGGTATTGTAATGGAGTCCTTTCTATATGGAACAGTTAAAAGCAGTTGAGGAGGAGTTGATGCCAAATGCCGGAGATTCCCATGAATGTTTTTCCATTGCACTTTCAAAACCAAGAACTGCCCAAATGGGAACCAGTAGCAACATATGGTTATAGTTCTAGTTCATTTTCCACCTGCTTGAGAGATGAAAACATCAAAATAACCACGATTAACAATATTATTGATTTGATTGACTGTTTATGCCACTCTAATTTGGCTAATTAGCTATTTTCCTTGCTAGTTATAGTTAGCCTAACCTTTTAGCTAGGGCTGGGCGATAAAACGATAACGATAATTATTGCGATATAACTTTTCCTCGATAGAGCGATACGACATGTTTGATATAATACACCATTCTCACACTCCCATGTTCAGCGAAAGCCTTGGACGCGTTTTCTACTGCGAGGAAAGCGACACTACTCTGCTGTCGCCAGGCGAGGGCGCACTTCCGAGTTTTTCTACATGATTAGAGAGGGAGGGGCCACGAGTAAGATGAGTCTTTAGCAACGGCTGAAATGTGGAGTTATACATTCCCTGTTTGAGTGGAGCGACCGGCCATCTGTTCTCCTGTGACCGAGTCTGAGTGACGAGGTCAGTGGTGTAACTGTACTGACCTACAGCGAACTCACCTCTTTCCTAACATCCTAACCAGCTTTAGCAGCGTTAAATCACAATCACAATCCTCACAACTACAGCGCTGTTACAGCTCTCAGTCATATTTTAGTATTAGTGCATTCACAAGCAACGAAAGTGAAAGAAAGAAGTGGGTTCATGTAAATTACAGCTCTGATTCAAACGACAGTAAACTGAGGAAGCTGTGAGGCACTGGAGAGCAGGAGAGCGCTAGCTGTTTTTAGCAGCTGGCTAACTTGAAGCAGCTCCGTCACTCACACAACACTGAGAATTGATGATACTGCAGATCAAACACGACACAAAAGCACCACTTTCAGTTTAAACGTACCTAAAAGGAGGACTCTGTTTGTCTGGTGTTGATATACTGTGGTTCACCCCTTAAACTACTACGACAGGTTCGGGAAATCCAGTTGTCGCTAGCTGGTGTCCGAATACTGTGATGTCATTTGTAGCAGGGTAGCCGAGCGCTCGGCACCAGCTAAAAATAATCCGTTTTCTTTCTTAAATTATGACTATACAAAATAGCCGTGCTTTTCCAGCTGGTAAAAACAGCTCACCAGACACTTTCTCCCACTGTCCCATGACAGATTTGTGAAATGTTCCACTGGTTGGTGAGTGTTTGTCATTATCCGACCATAAAGGATAGTTTAAAACAGCAATTAACCACCCAGGACCAAAAATCAGCCTTCCAACTTGAAAGAAGTAATGATTTGACATTTATCGTGATATGTATCGATATCGACCGATATGAATTTTGTAACATTTTTGGCCGTATCGCCCAGCTCTACTTTTAGCTGATATACTGCACTGTTCTGCACTCACACTCACAGAAATGGCTGCAGTTATACAGAATTGAGTGTAGAGTCAAACAAAGCTTAGATTTTTTTGTCTGACAAGTCTAAAAATGTAAGTAAATACACTCATTGTTAGCATAAATGCTAACAATGTTAGCTTCCTAACTAGCTTACCTTAGCACACTTATTATACAAAGTGATAATTCTGGAAATACCTATCAACGCTTTAACAAACCAGTCTTGTTTACCTCCTGGTGCACGTATTGGTGACGTAGTAGTGCTTAGTGATTTTATACTGAGGCAGAAGAGTAAAGAGTTTGTTAAATTATTGTAATCTTCAGCTACAAGTGCTAACAAAGTACCATTAGGGTCAGTTGGTACCAATATTGAATGTACACATTTAAGCAAAAACAAATAAAAAAGGGTTCTTTAGTAAAGGCAGTGGTTCTATTTAGGACCAAGAGTTCAATATAGAACCAATTCATGCTTAAATGGTTCTTTGCATGGTGAAATTGTTCTTCATATTGATGGAGAATGTGTTGTATATGATTCTCTCTAGAAACATTTTGGTGGAACAGTTTACAAAAAGGTTTCATGTAGAACTATATAAAATACGTTCTCCAAGTCCTTTAAAATAAGAGTCCCTGACCAACTAAGAACAATGTGCCTAGCTACACTCAACCAAAAGCAAGAACAATGCTATTTTTAAACTAAATACAGCCTGGTGTGTCTGACGTCATAATGTTTAGCAACTAACAATAATAATAATAATAATAATAAACTGTATGTAAGTGTGTGTGTGTGTGTGTGTATATATATATATATATATATATATATATATATATATATATATATATATATAA